ACCCCTGATAGGGGATGATCAATAAGGACCATCTAAGCAAAGTGGACATATAGTACTCTCTGAGATCATGTGCATCTAAATGCCCTGAGGGAGTGGGCTGGTGTCACTGTGAGACTGCTTTCTAACATCTTCAAATGTTTATGGTGACAGAAGAAGGTCCCAAATAATCACAAAATCGTAAATATCTCAAATTTACGTAAGTCAGGAAGGAAGATGTGGGGGACTACAGATCATTCTGCAGGAAGACTATGGAGAAAATTCTCCTGGAAATAATTTCTGCACACATGAAGGACAAGAAGATGATGTGGAATAGTCAGTATGGATTTACTAAAGGTAAATTCTGCCTGACCAACATAATTGCCTTCTACAATGAAATGACTGGCTGTGTGGGGAAGGGGAGAGCAGGGGATCTTGTCTCTAGTTAGGCTTTCAACATAAAATACATATAGCCAAACTGGGCAGATATGGGCTGGCTGGGTAGTTTAAATATAGGTACAAATTTGTGGAACCACAGTGCTTAAATAGCAGTGGCTGGTCACTAGTGGCATTTCCCCATGTTCAGTACTGGAGCTGATACTGCTTACAGTCCTTGCCTACAACCTGGATGATGGTGGCAGACACTCCCAGCAGCCGACATCAAAATGTGGGGAAATATGCAGATACACTGGAGGGCAAGGCTGCTTCTCAGAAAAATCAAAAAAGGCTAGAGAACTGAGTTCACAGAAATCTCATGAAGTTCAACAAAGACAAATGCAAGTCCAGCACTTGGGACAGAATGCAACAGTACAAGCTTGGCACTATCTAGAAAACATCTTTGCAGATTATGCTATTGTTGCATCTGTAGATAAGGTGAACAAATTGAACACGAATCAACATGTGTCCTAGAAGTGGTGAAAGCATGACATATGAGAAAACTGAAAACTGTGTTTGTTCAGCCCCATTAAAGAAGGGAAAGAGGAGAAACTGATGTATTCAAGTACATATGGATGGTTACAGGAAAAATGGAGCCAGAAGCTTCTAGGAAGTGCACAGCAAAGAAGCAAAAGGCATAAAAGGCAGAAGGACAAATTCAGAGAAATTTTTTGGATGTAAGGAAGAAAACCCCTTCCAATGAGGTTGGCCAGATGCTGGAAAAGGGGCAGAGAGGTAGGATAGGTAGATAGGGGGGTAGGGGTAGATAGGTAGGATGGATCTTTGTTCTTGGAGGTATCTGAAACCACAGGACACAGCTCTGAGCAACCTGTTCTAACTTTGAAGTCAGGCCACCTATGACTGAGATTTGGATCATTAGTCTAACCAGACTCCCAGAGATACCTTCAACCCATTTTTTCCCTGATTCCAAGCTTTCTCTCTTCTTCGGTGAAAGCAACAAAGTCTTGCTCCCAAAATGGCATTGAGTATACATATATCTGAGATTTGTTTTGTTGTTGTTGTTTTGTTTTGTTTTCATTCTGGAAGATGTCATTACTCTGTAACCAACATGTATATTAGCATGCATAAGCAATCCATCTCATTTATATCTTAGAAGAATGGTTTTAAATGGTAAAAAGAAAAACCCAACATATTGTTTATCTGCATCACTTATGTGTTGTAGAAAAGAAAGTGTGGTTATTTCTGTTAGGTTTTCTGCAGTCAGTTTTTCCATTTTACGTGGAAGCTTTGAAAGATCAATGATGATTCTAGTATGCTAGTTAAACCCCCCTTTTCTTTCAAAATCCAATAACCAGCATGATTTTAGTAAACGCCTGTGGGAGACTTATTAAAGAACCCCAGAATAAGTTTTGCTAAGTTTGTCTTTTCATTTTCATCTGCTTTTCAGGAGTCTATTGTTTTTGTATGTGAATATCTGGAATGTACTTAAATTTGGTGGACTTGTGATAAAAACATAATTGTGTGACTGTGTATCTGTACACACATTGTAAAGGGAACTTTAAGACACTGTTGGATTGTCTCAGCTCACAGTGTCAGGATGATAACCATAATAATTTATATCACCTGGCTTTTGAGATCCTTGCTTCCTCTTCCCCAGCTTTAGAGGACTGCAATAAAGGAAAGCTGTGGGATTTTGCTGCACATCAGGCTGCATATCTGTATCTCCTTACAATGAGGTATTCCTCATGAGAGCTGTGGTCTGGGCTTGTGATTATTTTAGTACCTGAAGTTCAATATTAACAGAATTAGAAGACCCAATTAATACCTAATCTTTAGGAACAAAAAGAGAAACCAAGAACCTAACAGTTAAACTGAAAAACAGTGCCACAACTGACACTTTTTAGTTTAGGTTAGTAGCAATGGTGAATGGTGGGAGGGGAGGATCTCTTGGGAAAGATAAAGGAGTAAAATAGTTGTTAGACATTAATAAACTCATCAGTTCTTAGAGACAAAATCTATACGTGGCTACCAGATATAAATTTTCCTTTATTCAGCTGCTTGGAACATGCACGCCTCTGAGTAAAATTGCTGGTAAAAATATACATATCAGATCCACATATGTGCAACTAGTCAGAAAAAAGTTTTTATTTTCCTGATTTTTATGTTGTGCTATAAACCTTCAAATAGGAATACTAAAGTTACTCCAAACACTGCATTTGTTGCAAGTGCCAATGCCCATTTTCATGTTTTATGCTTGTCTTTCAACATGTGGAAGAACCCTACAAATTGATGAAAAATAAGAAATAGTAATACTAACTCAAAACAAATAAGCTGAAGGAATAAAGACAAAACATTCATGTAATAATTGTGTTTCATAACTATATTGTGTTTTAAGGCCACAGTATTCAGCTGGCGATTTTCTAGTCAGAAAGACATAAACGCAGGTTGTGAAGGACAAAGACTGCCAATCCAATGTTCCCAGAAAACGGTAAATTTATCATGTGCAACATGTACAAATGCATCTTTGGAGATAAGTCAGACTTACCAAGTAAGCATCTGTAACACCATCTGCACTGTATAGGTGCATGGCTCATTTCAGTTCTTCTCAGGAGTGTCTTTTGGGACACAGTTTCATGTGCATAGTGTCACACAACCTGTGTGTGAGTAGGTGAGTACTGCAGATTTGTTCAGATTTTCAGATGTTGTGCAAAGAGATCTGGAACAACTGCTCATGTGCAGCAGCATCACATTGTAAATAATGACCACATTTTTCAAGATTTGCATAGACAAAATTCCTGAGTTTTAAACCACGTCAGTGTGTCTCTTGCATTGTCTGCTGCTTTTTCTTTTGTTGTTTGCATGGGACTTGTTTGTTTTAATTGGGTGATTCTGTGCCTTCGGATGCATTTGCCAAATTTCTGTAACAGCAGGACACCAACATGAAACTAGCAAGTATCCTCTGGTCTTGTGTAGTCAGCTTGAGTGTAATGATACATGCAGGTAGAATAGTGCTCCTATAATGACAAGGTGTTTGCTATGTCCAAGGTGCAACAGCTGCTGTAGTTGCATTTTACTTGCTGTAGTTGCATTTTCAGTTTTTTTAATCATTTTTTTAATCCAGTAACTATACTTGTGATCCTACACTGACACAAGAAACAGGAAAGACTACCCATTCCACTATGTATTCTGATCATTTTGCATTGGTGGGACAGGATCCAATTCCTATGGACCCACATTAGTTTGGGTCTGCCTCGTGTCCTGAGATTACCTTGCTAATCGCAGCTCGATCTTGGTTGTTTCAGTTCCCTTTACATGATTTGTAGCTGTCGGCAAATCTAGAAACACAGTTACCAACTAGGGAAATCATGATGTTATTGTATCAGCTTCCAATGAATGAGATTTGTCTTTACGACCAGCAGCTTTTTAATTTGGCTGCAGTCAGCATCCAGGCATGTATGTGTGCTGCAGTGCTTTCTGCAACAGCGATTGTGACAGCTGCAGACCAGACTACTTTTAACTTTCCCTTTCCATACCAGCCTCTTTGTATTTCTTCCTTCAGCTGCATCACTGTGTGCAGGGTAGTCAACATTAAGCCTTCATTTTGCCTTTTATTTTTTTTTTTTCTGGCTGCATAGACCTTTAGGTCTGTATCTGCTTTGAGAAAAAAAACAAAATCAAACATTCTACAGATGCTTACTTACATAGAAAAACTGTAGCAGGAACAACAGCAAGAGGAGAACTGTTTCACTTCCCTCTTCTGTTTCTCACAAAGTTGACTATGAACATTATGTAAGATGTGGTAACAGTTAAGGACTCATCAAAAGGTCTTGTCTTAAAACTGGCTATTATACTAGCTAGTAGAATTAAAAATACACAACAGACGATCAGGTATATCAGTATGTCTCAATGCTGCATGCATCCATCCCTATTTAACAGTAGTGAAACAGAATTATAGGAGAAAACTAAGATTTTGACTCTGTCTGATATTACTTTAACGAACTACTTTCTCACCTTCTTTGGCTCTCTCCCCTCCACTTCTCTTTGACTGGCACAAAACACAGCAAGATAAATTAGGAAACTGTGCTTTTACTTATCCTTACCCAGAAACATTTCCCTGTGTTAATCAATAGCCGTGGCAGACGACTGCGAGCCGGTACCCGTTTTTAAGCTGGTCTTTAAATTCATTTTCTTAAGAGAGAGACCCGTACTATCTTCCCTCACTACCTCCCGAGTGCAGGTGCACAGACCAAGCCCGCTCTCCCACCACTCCGGGAACAGGGGCTCGGATGAGTCCGCGACTCTCCCGCCGCCGGAGCTGCCGTGCGTGACTCCCTTCTCCCTCTGGAGGGAGACACAGTCCAGCTTTTATCTGCCGCCGGTGTCACCGCATTCCTCCTGCCTCTGCCCCTGCTCCAGCCGCCGCGGCCCCCTCCCCCGGCACAACTGCCCGGCCCGGCCCGGCCCGGCGGCGCCCCCTCCCCGCCCCGCCTTCCGCTGCAGTGACATAGGGGGCTCGGGGTGGTGGCGGGGCAGTCGGGGGGACTTGGGCATCTTCGCCTCCCTGGCCATGTGCGCCTGTGCGGAAACTTGGCACCCCCAGCTCGCCGCTCGGAGAGGACGGGAGGGACGGGAGAGCGGCGCTTTGGGGCAGGCAGGGGAGGGGGCCCAGTCTGGGTGTGCTCAGGCCGAGGGGGCGGGCGCTGCAGACACAGCTCCGCTCCTCGGTTACACGGAGCGGTGGCCACGGGGACCTGGTGCCTCGTAAAGGGCTAGGAAGGAGAGCAACGAGCGGCCGGATAAATACGGGGGAGGAGAGGGGCGTCTCCTCCGCTTCCCACCCCTCCCATCTCCCCCGCCGCGCAGGGCGCGCTTGGAGCTCCCTCGGCTTGTTCGGGCGCCCGGAGCGGCTCCGCGCCCTGGTGCGGTGAGCGCAGGCTGGGTATGGGAGGCTGCTGCTGAAGGTGAAGCTCTCGCTCTCCAATTACTTTTCCCAAGAGGGAGAAGGAGGCTGCAGGAGGGGGAAGTCGTGCTGTGTGTGGACCGCAACACCAATCAGAGATGCTCTAACGGAGGGACTGCTGCAGGACGCGCCGGCTTCTCCTCCTTCCTATGCCGGCGGGGCTCAATCGGGACGGCGTGCAGCTGGCGAAGGGGCCGGAGGCACACCGGGCTGCAGGACTTCCTCATCCTCCGCTTTTTCAATAGCTCAAATACTTCGTCCTCTTTTCATTTTTCTTTTTTTTTTTTTTTTTAATACTCTGACATCGTGCACGAGAAACACTTCAAGTCCTCCCTCTCCTGTCAGTTCCTTCACCCTTCCTCTAGCATCTCTAGCCGGATTTCTGGTGTATTGCCAGAGAGGCGGGGGTAGACCCGGGCCCCGCGGGCGGCCGCTGCCCCAGCCCGGCCGAGCGGAGGGGAGCGGAGCCGAGCGGAGCGGGCACGGCGCCGCTCCGTGCCCCCGGGCGCTGGCGGGGCGCGGGGCGTGTGCCGGAGATGCCCGGGCGGTAAAGCTGGAGCTCCCCCCGAACGGGAGGCGGCCGATCATTAGGCGTTTCTAGCAAGAATCGGGACTGCAGGTAGGTGAGCAGAGCGCTCCGGGGGCGTGTATCTGGCCCGGCGCTGGTGGGGCCACCGGGAAGTCACCTCCGCTGTTGGCGGAGACCCCGCGGGGCTGAGGGCGCAAGCGGCCGCGGGGGGCCGGGCGTGGGGTGTGCGGGGGGGCTGCTCCGGGAGTGCGTCGTGCCGGTGCCCTAAAGTTGGAGAAAACCGGGACTGAGCAGGAGCTGCTTTGCCGTCCTTCTGCTGGGCGCCTAGGGCAGCCAGCTACAGCCTTGCGCCGGGCGATCCACAGGGCTTTTGTTTTCCTTTCTCATTTTCTTTGATTTTATTCAAAAGAACGGTTCGGCAGAGCCGGGGGTGGGGGTAGGTGGGTGGGTAACACGTTGGAGGATGGAGCAGGGGAACTCTCCCATTTTTCAACTTTTATAGGAAGGGTGGCCGCTAACTCACAGACCTTCGGGGACTTGGGGGTGGTTACTCTGCCCGGACGCCGTATAGGCCGCCTTCAGAGAGCGGCTGAAAGAGCGAGGAGTCCCTTTATGAATCGTAAAAAAAAAAAAAAAATAAAAAAAAAATAAAAAAAAAAAAAGAGAGACAATCTATGGCTTCGTTTCTTTCTGCCTGCAGTGCTCCCCGAGTTGTGGGTAGCGTATCTTGCCTCTCCACGTTGCTTTCTTTGCATTTCAATGGACTTATTTACCAACTAACATGTTTCAGGTTCTATATATCACAGTGAGAGGGGTTTTTCCCTTATTCCTTCCAATTTATAGCTTTGCAAGAGAAAGTTTGAAAATAACTTGCTTTGTTCCTATGGAGCTGTAGGATTGGACACCTGGTTATTAATGCAAAGAATAAAGACCAAGAGCTTGCACTGCCCTATTAGGAGTTTCCCTGTATGACTCTTCTGTATGTTCCTTACCAGCAGTTAAAATCATTGCTTAAAGGATTTTAAAATGAATGTGTAGTTAAAGTTCCCCCTTTCCAGCTTTTGCTTGGAGATGACCAGTATTTTCTTTTAAAGCACTAAGTACTTGACTTCTACCAACCTTCCTCCTCCCTCCAGTAACACTTGCTCAGTATTTAAAGAATCGTGCTTCGACTCCTGCAGAACTGTCAATTTAAATAATAAACATACTCAACCCTTATCTCTGCAAGCCCTGTAAAGCATTCGGGGTCGTAGGGTCTTCGCACCACAGTGGATACATTTAAATTGGTATTGACTAAATGATAATCGTTATCTGGTTTCTGTGTCTTACCATCTAGTTTCAGACTTTAGCATTCAACATTTAACACTTTAAAGCTACTTTATGGGCTAATTTAAGTGAAGTCAAATTGATAAATTGAGATTCTTTTCTGTAGTGTAGGGCAAACACTAGAAAAATAGTAGTTCAAGGGTACTAGGTGTATAGCTTAGCTGAAGTTGGGAAAGATCATACTAAGGTATTTTTATCAGAGGTGGCAAAGGTTACAGGTTTCATTATGCTTTTTCACAGTAACTGTGCAGTCATTTCATACTGATGCCTAAATCGTTTTTAAGTGTATAATGAACAGTAGTAAAGTAATTAATATAAATTTTAATTATTAATATTTTATTTCAGAGAGCTGATACTGCTGAGACTGTATTGGAAATCATGTGGGTTTTGTTTCATGTAGTTCCACTTTCCAAAACTACAGTACTGTTATTCTTATAAGTATAAATTACCTAAGTGCCATAATTTCAGTGGAAGGCTTTGCTTAGTTAGTTGATAGCAAATCAGATTTATTCTTCACTGGTTCCACACTGTTTTTTTGTACATTATGGGCTTTCAAAATTGTGGTATTAATTTTAGATACACTGCTGATAGTGGGTTACTTCGAGATAAAATCCTATCTTGCTGTTTTAATCAGAGAATGATGACTAATCTGGCAGTATCTTTTATTGTACTGGACACATAGGATAACCTTTTTACCTGGGTCTTCTTATGATCTGAGGGATCACAGATTTATGTGTAGATGCTTGTAATGCATTTGATGGTTCTGGTGGGGAATGCATGAAAAACTTGTTCTGAATGGATGTAAATAGATGTGTGTACAGATGGATATTGGAGATTGCTTTACTGGCAGGTTACAAAGTGATGATTCATTGAACCCTCTCTAGGTTTACATAAAGCAAATAATAATTTACATTGAATTGTGGTGGCAGAGAAAAATGTAGCAGCCAAGAAGTTTCATAATTTCATTACGGGTGAGGACAGACTTGATAAGACATCTTTACAAATGCAGGCAGTATGTTTTTGGTAAGCAAAATATAACCATGGAGTTTTTGAGATCTGAGCATCTTCACACTTAAATTTATTGGTGTCTGTGTTGCTACTTACCAACCAGTATAAAGCCTAAATAGTGTACTAGAAAGATGCTGCATTTATTACATTGTATGTTTTACTTACTGTAAATAAGTAATGCAACAGTGCTAAGTAGTTATCAGACTAAAGGAAATCACTGACTTTGGAAGACAGAAAATCACATTCCTTGATACTCATCTTATACACAGAAATGTGATCATCTTGAAAAATTGTTTTGGATACAACTATCAGTGAGCAAGCAGTTCTATTCCTCTGTTTTAACTTCTGCTGGATTTTATTAGAAATGCTTCATTAAGTCACATTATTCTGCAGCTGTTTGTTCACTGAAAATTAAAATAAAAATCAGGAAATTTATCCAGCAAAGCAGTAATATTTCCTTTGTTAAGTACTGAAAGTTCAAATAATAATAAAAAAATCCTTTGGCATCAGTGTGCCAGAAGCACTGAGTACATCCTATTTTAGTGATATATGGGTGGCATTTACAGATGCAATTCATCAATGTATTTGTTAGTCAAACGTCATCAAACAAAGAAGATAAATTACAGTAAACAAAGACTGCATGGTAGTACAGAGGGTAAAGCAAGGGAAGACCCTACAAATCTAATTAATTAGTGTTTAGTCTCATATTTACAGTCTATATTTAAACATCTCATTTAAATGTCTTTCATAGTTTTTCTCCTGCAGCTCCAGGTAATTCAGGTAACAATAGCTTTTCACTGGAAAATGCATTTTTCATTTGCCTTCTGAAATGCTGAATTTTAAAAACATTGAGGCAAAAGTTGTGTTAGGATGAATATAATAGGTCCTATGCCAGAAGAACTGAATAGTGACCTGTCCCTGTTTGTGACCGTTTTTACATGTTAAGAGGGGAATCCCCAACTGATGTAGGCTTTCATTGCTCCCTAGGAGTAGTTGAAGCTCTGATATTTTAAACCAGCTGGAGTATTTGCTCCATTATCTTTAGATCACTGAATTTAAGAGTGAACTTTAAAAGGGTTTTGCTTGCCTTTTTTTTTTTTCCATGAGAAAACGTTTGCATGGTATATTGAGCTTCACAGAATCCATTGTAAGTGCATATCTTCATGTTTGAAATACTTTTTAAAAACACAAGCTCGCTCTGGGAGATATTTCAGTAGAAAATGTAACCTTGTGATTTGGTTTTGTAAGCTGTTAATATTTACTTTAAAACACTTCTCATGACTGGTTTCAGGTGTCTAAAACTCATCAGGCATAAGAATGAATGTGAAAACATCAATAGTAATGTTGTTCATTTTTCCTGATGACAGCTACAGAGCTATCTCCTTTTGCTCTTGGTAGAACTTGGGTTTTGTGCTTTGCTTCTTTATACACCCTTGCCAACCACTTGTTTGCCATATGTAGTGAGTTCTTCATCAAAAGAGAAGACAAAATGATAATGTCCACCTGATGTACTTTTTCATACTACTAGTGCAGAGCATTCACATTTTTAAGATAAACAATGGAAGGCATTTTTACGTAGCTTCTTTCATGCCTTATGTTTTGAAAAATACTTTGGAGATAGAAGAGAGAAAATAAAGATATTGTGCTTTACAGTACTGGGTATGGCAGGACACTACATACTTGGCTTTTTTCAGTGACTTCATCTCATTTTATCTTTCTTAGCTTTTCCTTTTGTTTGGATATGTCAGTACAGTGATTTGTAGAATGCACTGTAGCTGTAGCTATTGCTTGAAGTAGCACTATAAAAAGCTTTGTATGGATTTGATTCTTAGTCCTTAAATAAACACTTACAAGAGTAGCTCCTGTATCCTTTGTGGTATGGAAGAACTGCTTATATAATTGCATGGGTAAAAAGTTGGAAATTTTTTTTATTTTTTTTTTTCTCCGAAGCTTATCAAACCTCACAATCTGTGGTATGTTAATAGCTTGCATTTTCTAGTTGCCTCACTTCACATCTTGCTGATCTTGTAATATGAAACTTGAACACAGGTCTCTCGGTACCAGGGCAGCATTGTGTACAGCTGCCTCAACTGTGACCATCCATTTAACAATGCCAAGGGGAGAGCCACAGTGCAGGGTGGCACACAGATGTAAGCACACATAGCTTTTTTTTTTTTGACTCCTGGGTGTTTGGTAATCTTCTATGCCTATATCATGAATTTGAGTAAGGCTGCAAAAGGTGCTTTAGATTGACAAACTTCACAAGTAAATAAATGAACAATGGCAGCTAAACAAACCCAACTGGCTGTATAAATAGCAAAATATTAAGAAATGCATCAGTAAGTATCAAACACTTTTAACATAGATAACCAAATTTTTATTCTTGGTTGTATGCTGGCCCCTCTCTCTTTGAAATATTTATGGCCTCCTCTGTGCTATGTAAGATTCAGTATTTGAAGATGAGATATTGGTCTAGATGGACCACTGGCTTGATCTAATAAGGCAATTTCCTTGTTGAAATGCAAGGAACTGGTATTGCAGTACTGTGTATTTTAAATGCCTTACTAGAACCAAAGTGCAATTACTTGGTTTTGCTTTATTTTTTCACTTTTAAAAGCAGGATATAATACATTTCTAAAATAAAGCTGTCAGTAACATGCAGTCTCACACCAACTCCTCTAGAGACAGGAGCATAGACCTGACAAGTCTCTCACACTTGCAGTGATACTCTTATGTTGGATTTCTTCTACTCCCTC